AAGTTTTAGTATACAGAGCTGTTCTAATTTTGTTGTAAGCAATAGAACTTGTGTATAATGAATGATTTTAGATGCTAGAAATGATTTCCATTTCCTATTAGAAAAACTTTCATTAGCTAACCTATTTCATTTCATAGGACACTTTATAGGACTTAAGTTTTAGTATACAGAGCTGTTCTAATTTTGTTGTAAGCAATAGAACTTGTGTATAATGAATGATTTTAGATGCTAGAAATGATTTCCATTTCCTATTAGAAAAACTTTCATTAGCTAACCTATTTCATTTCATAGGACACTTTATAGGACTTAAGTTTTAGTATACAGAGCTGTTCTAATTTTGTTGTAAGCAATAGAACTTGTGTATAATGAATGATTTTAGCTGCTAGAAATGATTTCCATTTCCTATTAGAAAAACTTTCATTAGCTAACCTATTTCATTTCATAGGACACTTCGTCATTCTTCTTAAGCCTAGTAAAAAGCATTTCAGAACATGTTTCACCATTATTAAATCTCTTATAACTTAATTACTGCTGTGACAACAAATTCAAAAGCTAGAGGGCAGAAAATAGCAATTAACTCTTTCTGATACAGTGTGAATAGTCTTGGATTCTTCAAATCAAAGATATTGCAAACCAAAAATATTATAATAGAAATATGGGGGGCCGGGATAGCCTGGTGGGTAGGGCGCTGGGCCCATGTCCTACAGGTTGCGGGTTCGATTCTCACCGGCCGAAGAAACCCGTGTAGTAAAATGGTGACTGATGCAAGTTAAATCTGTCGAGTCTCAAAGTCCTCCATGTTCCCATAAAAAATCAATACGTCTGGGGGTACTGATCCAGGAGTTTCCTTGTCTTCTGGATTGGTTCAAAATTACAAGGCTACGGAGTTGAACATTAGTAGTCGTAAACCGAAAAATTGGGTTGACTGTTCAACGACTGATTTATAAAATAAAATGTAAAATCCTCCAGTTTGAGCCTTGATGGCTCAAGGGATAAAGCGTTTGCCTTCCAATGACGTGAACCAGGGTCGGCTGTTCAACGATGGTTATAAAATAAAATAAAAATGTGGAACTTTTTGCTTCTAAGCTTCCACTGATTTCTCACAACAACTATTCTTTAAAAAATTTAGAGCTGATATGTATCTTTTTACATATAGAGCAATCAGGGTTGGCAAGTTTTTGACAATTTTTACTATCATGCCAAAAACCTCTTAGTCAAAATACAGACTTTTGCTGACACTGTATTTTTGTTTCATTTCAACTAATTAAAATTAAAGAAAAAAGTATTTCAAACCTTCAAAGCATTAAATTTTTAAAAAAAGTTTTAAAAGATATTTGAGAAAAAAATGACTTAATATTAATAAAATTATGATAATGTATTTTTGAAACTAGAAAATGAAAAGTATGCAAAACTAGTCACTTGCAATCACATGCTTCTAACCCTGGTTACTAAAAATGCCATTTTATATACAATTGTGGTTTGCATTAATGTGAGTTTTCAATTAAATAAAAGTTTTAAAATAGCATTGATACCTCAACTAGTTTCATTAGTTACAAATTTAGGTTAAATATTCCAATATTATACACAGATAACTAGGTGTATGGTAAAAGATATAGAACTTGAAGGGATATCAATAACAATATATAATCTGTATGGTACAAAAATTTTTAAACGTATTCTTAATATTTTATAAGCGCAAAATTTTGATTTATAGTTTTGTTGCACACCCTCAGGGCTTAAAGGTATAAATACCAACTTTTAATAAGTCATATAAAAATAATTATGTAAATATTTATGAGCATAATAGCAAAAATAACTTTTAATCGTAAAGGAAATATTTAATTTAATGGACCACATAAGAAACATATTGTCTGCTGTATAACATAAAGGTAAAAAAAGGTTTCCTTGACAGTTTTTATCTCAATCATGTCAAAAGCCTTTTTTTTTTTTGTCATGAGAAACCCAATCCTGAGCGCAACCATGACAGTCATAGTTGCTAATGTGTTGTCAGACTAAGATTTTCAACCAATAATTTTTTTAGTCAGAAAGGGTTAAGCAGAAAATAAAAATCCACCCATGATATTTTCATTTATGATAGAAAAATAATATGCAGATGTTTCACAAGAAAAACTTCATTATAATCACTACTTAATTTTGGATAATTTTGCTTAAATATTAATTCGTACTTTACATTAGGGGTGCTCAACCTGCGGCCCGCGGGCCAAATGCGGCCCGCCAACCCTCGATGTGCGGCCCGCGGCTGCAATCTGAACAAAATGAGGAAAAAATTAAATATTTGTTTTTGAAGAATAATATAAAAATTCGGTAATTTAAATTTACACTTTTAAGTTTTTGACGCACCCAATCTCAATCAATGTAGTTTTTCGATGGTTACGATTGCAGCATAGTTTTAAAAATCCCAATATTTTTAATACATCATTATTACGATTTACGAATTTTAATTACCACTTTTGACGCTTTTCGTATGTGCCGATTCCAATGACTTTTCGGTAGTTATTGCTACCCATTTTCAAGTAGTTTCTGAAATAGCGATTTTTGAAAGTTATGAAACGCTTTATTTGTGCAAACTTCATGGAAAATCTAAATGACTTTAGATCCTTTCTTCAACAGTTATTGCTGCACATTTCCGCCCGGTTTTTAAAACTTCGATATTTTAGCACGATATTATTACGAATCGCGAGTAAAGAATCGCTCATTTAGATAACCATTTTTTGACATGGCTTATTTGTAACGATTTTATCGCAAATCAAATTATTTTGCAATCGTTATTTTAGAAATTATTGCTACACATTTCTACAAGGTTTTGAAAGTACCGANTATGGAATATGTATGGAAATTGTATAAAATTGTTTAAAGCAGCTCAATGTTTTATTAATAAATAACTAATCTATAAATTTATCATACAAAATTGGTTATTAAGAAAAAAATAAATTTGCTAATAAAAACTGTTTTTAATAAATAGTGAAAAAAAACTGTACAGGTTACAATAAAATATGAATAAGAAAACGTAATTTAAGCAAAAAAAACTTCAGATAATTTCAGATGGTTTGATGGGTGCTGATAAAAATCATTGTTGATAGTTTTAGATTTCATCCTAGTTGCGGTCACTTGCATTCAGTTTCAAAAAAAAAAAATAATAATAAATAAATAAATAAAATATTTCAAAATTAATAATCAAAACAAAGATATTTAATATTTCTCCGGCATATGTAACGTGAACTATTTTTAATTTCAGCAAAAGTTTTATCTCCTTTTAAAATCAGAGTTATTAAGTTTAAGCTCTTCACTTTTTCCAGAAAATTCAAGTAATAAAAGAAATTAACTGCTTTAAAAAATGTGCAAGTTTAGAAATTAAACCATCTAACAATCAATGAACATTCATAATAAATATCGTAAAATTAAAAAGTAATATTAAAAAAAACCTGTACTACCCTAAATGTCAGAATTTGTTCACTTTTTTTCCTTTGTATTTAAAAAATAGCAACTGATTGAATCGAGAGAATTATTTTAAGTAAGAAAGAAATATTCATGCGAATCTTAAAAAAGTTCTTGAATCAGATTAAATAAGTCTCCTACCGGTGGCTGAGTCAGCCAATCTGGTATACTCCCCATACAAGCTATCATCGAAGGCGAAAGAAAAGGAGACCTCTCCATCGAAGCCACCCTCCCTAAAATGCTCTCTTCTTGTTTCCATAGCACCAGACTGCCGCAGACTTTGTGGCGGACAGAGTACCTATCGTAGACAAACAGTAGTTAGTCACTTTGTTTACGTATTTCGTGTGATTTGTCAATAATCGTAAAACAAAGCCATTTCATCACACTGTAAAAAAAATTTTGACAATTATTCTAACCTACTTATGAAGCAGATATCACAGTTAATCTAATTTATTAAGATATAAACAAAAAAATTAACAATTATATATTGAATGTATCATAATAAACAACATCTGCAAAATGAAACAGAACTTACTCACCACTCATAAAAAAATTGAATTTTTTTAATATTAAAGACTGTTATAATTTAGCCAAAACTTACTATAAAGTTCATAAGAACTCTATTCTGCACGAAAATCGACCGTTAGTACTTCAAAAATTTAAGGAAAGTATAAAATTTGCTAATTTATTACAAAATGATATCAAAATTGATTGATATCAAAATGATATCAAAATTCCACCCAATTGATTGTAAACAAAGTTCGTGACGTCATGCGCCCATGTGCTTAGATTCGGTCTCTGGATTTGTATTGAGCATGCGCTGAGATTTAATGAAAAAGTAAATATTGCGGTAACTTTTTAAAACGTTATTTCATAATTTATTAAAAAAATTTGAATAAGACAGTTTAATTATTCTGTTTGGTGTTGTTACTTTCTAATATCTTGTTGTCAACTATTTAAGTAAAGCTTATTTAATTATTTTGTTTATTAAGTTGTAAACAATTATTTTGACTTACATTGCTGCATTTTTTGACTAGTAAGTTATTTTAAGAATATATTTTTGAAAAGTGTTCATTATAACTTGACCCTTATAATTATGATAGTTTTATAAAAATTTTTTTGAATAAAACCTTGAAAGTCCTTGAATTTAGTTGAAAAAAAATCAGGTCCTTGAATTCTGCCATAAGGTACTTGAAAAGTACTTGATTTTTTTTAGAATTTAAAATAATACTTACTAATCTTTCTTACAATAAGACAGTAAAAAAATAATAAATAAATTCAAAGGAAGATTATAGAAATTCTAATAGATGCAGTTTTTAAATGCTTGAAGTGGAAAGAAAAAGAAGATGCAAAAAGATCCTTAAAGAAGATGCAAAGCTTTTCTCTCCTAGATTTTTCACACCAGATTATTGTTCAATAGAAATATGCTCGATTTGTTAACTTTATTATTATGACTGGTTAATATTATTATCCTATTTTTTTAAATTTATATACGAAGGATAATTAATTTTTTATCATTTATAATCAAATTTCTACATTTAGTTTTTACTGCTAATAAGTAAAATTTGGTTCTACAGGTTTCATTGATTATGAATAAACATTGTGATTCACATTCAACTGATTCTTGATTTACGGATTGGAATTTATATAAAACAGGGTTTGGGTTTTGGACGTCCTAAACTGGTTTTGGATAGGACACATGGGTTTTATTGTCTTAAACTGGGTGAAACTGTCTCAAAGTGTCCAAAACCTAATTTCGGTGAAGGATAAAAATTTTATAGGTGTAACCATTGTACACATAATAATTACATGTATCAATAAATATTTGATATTTTTTATACAATTTATAACTTATTAAAGGAAAATACAATATAATAGGAAAAGGTTTATAATTTTTGAAGCTCCACAATTCATTGAACAACAAAAGTGAACACATAATCCTTTAAATATGAATATGCTTTTAATACTGATAAATAATGCAATATTAAATAATAATATTAATGATTTTAAAAAAATACTAAATATGTTTAAAAATTAACCTTTTATTTTTCACAATATTTTTTTTAAAAAAATGTTATATTTTCTGCATGATAGAAAAGACATCCATTTAAAAAAGAAATGTTTTAAGTATAAATATATTAGTTTAAGTTGGAAATACAAAATAACTGAGAAATGTATTAACAGTTTTGGTTTCAGTTACTGACACTGGTGATGTATCACTACAACGCTAAAAGAATTGAACAGGAAGGAAATAAAAGTATTCTTGAATAGTACTATAGATAAATAAACCTGTTTATGACTAANATTTTAAGCTTTTGCTACTCCCTCAAATAGAAATGGTTTTGTTTTTAATGGCTACCGAGGCCGGTACCCCCTGAAGACGTCGGCTTCGGTGGCCATATTTTTATTTAATTTGTTTCTTGTATTGATACTTTTTTCTGAAATTTCTGCTGCTTCTTAGAGCGTTTTTTCTCAAAGAAGTTTTATCCTTTTGAATCTTAATTATTTGTGTTTTCTTTCAGTATATTAGTTTAAGTTGGAAATACAAAATAACTGAGAAATGTATTAATAGTTTTGGTTTCAGTTACTGACACTGGTGATGTATCACTACAACGCTAAAAGAATTGAGCACGGATGAAATAAAAGTATTCTTGAATAGTACTATAGATAAATAAACCTGTTTATGACTAACCAAACACTTAGTTCCTAATAGCTTAACCTGTATGGCAAGGTCAAACTTCAGTTATGTACTATTGAATGAGAGGATCAACTGAACTTGATTACTGATTAATCTTCCTTTGTTTAATGTTTAAATTGAAGAGTCAAACAATATTAATAAAACATTATACTTTTAAAAACAAATATTTTCCAGTAGATTTAATTATTAATATGTTATTAGCTCTATGTTTATTCTACTTTTTAAATATTGTTCAGATAAAATTGTGGTTTTGTTTGGAGCAATTTTGGAGGGTGGTGGAACAATTTTGGACAGTTTTGGATAAAGGGGTTTTGGATTGGACGGTTTAAACTGCGAATTAATCCATTCTGAAACCTTGCCAACCCTGATATGAAATGTTTTACGAATTGCGATTTAAGTGAAAGTAATTAATGAATCACATATCAAATATTACTTAAAAGTGATTTGCAAATTACTCATCATAATTCGTATTAAGGTATTTTATAAATCACACATCATGATTCACATTAAAGTGATTTATCGATCACACATCATGATTTTAATTAAAGTTATTTCTGAATCATATAACGTGATGTGTATTTACGTAATTTCAGAATCATGCCTCACAAATCTCATTCTTGCAGTTTACAAATCACGCATTGCAATTCACAAAAGAGAGATTTAAGAATTACCAGTCACAATTCTCATCAAAATGATTTAAGAATCAGACATAGCTGTTCTTTATTAAGCAACTTTTGAATTTCAATTTGCATCATAATGATCACTGTTCACATGAAAACTATTAGCTAATTTCGCAACAGAATTCACATTAAAGTGATTTATGTATTACACATTGTGATTTACGTCTTGTTAGTTCGTGCATTTTGTTTCATTTGCTATTCATATTGTTCTGATTTAAGAAACATACACCGCAATTCAATTTCAATTTACTAATCACACATTGTAATACGTAATTTACGCAATCTTCGAGACTTACTTCCCCTTTCGTATAATTTTGATTTACATGTAGTGTATCTAGATTCGTATAAATGCGATTTCAAAATTATGCTTAATAAAAATTACGCATATTCACAAAATTTTAAGAACCGCGCTTTACTTGTTGTGGATATGTTTTAAAGAAAATAAAACTTGGTAAGTCTTAGTTAGTCATCTGTAAAATATTGTTCTGCAATAGATTTTATTATGTTCAAAATCAGGGCTCGCCAAGTGGGCCCACTTTGTAAAAACCCGCCCGGGTTTTATTGGGTGGGCCAACCTTGAAAAAACCCACTTAGTGGTTTTTTTCACAAATTGTTTTTTTAAAATTTGGTTGAAAAAGAAGTATCTTCTAATACTATCATTGGACACATCGTGGAAGTTAGCACATATTTTAGAAATGTGCATCAAGCACATGGATGGGCAAATAAAAAAAACTGCTTGATGCCCCAATTACCAAATGATATTGCTTTTGAACATCAAAATGAATTTAATAATAATTTGTCAAAAATATTAAATATGGGCTTTACCAAGAAACTCTCAATTTGGAAAAACAGATATCAATTGTTTCTGAAGCTTTAAAAAAGCTTCAGTCAGAAAACATTTCAAGTTCAGAAGCTGTTGAAATATGAATTAACTTACTATCGTGTGATGAATTAGAACCCCATAAACATTTTGAAAAAAGATCCATCAGGCTATTCAGCCACCTCATTTATTAGTACATGCACCCTGGATCCCGAAGCAAGGGGACAATTTTTAAATGGTGAACAAAAGCAATTAGCAGAAAACAGTCTTTCTAGGCATCATCCAGAATTTCTACCAGGTGTTATGGCATTCAAAATTTCCGATCCTGAGTACTTTCCAAAGTCAATGATGCTTGATACTGTTATTCAACAATTTTCATCAAAAAATAGTGGGAAATTATGGCAAAAAAAATGAGCTTCCACAAAATTTCTGCCAATTCTTTTTTCTTTACACTCAGCACCAGCAACTTTCGGTCTGGTGTGGAGTAAACTACGAAATAGATTAGGAATAGATAAAGCTACAAAATTCGTAAAAGTGTATCACCGTCTAAAAGAGAAATGTAGATACTTTGAATCTGCTGTGTATAATAATATATATAAAAAAAAAATGAACCTTTTAAGTTAACTCTTAACATCTGCTGACAGTTTTTAACTATTTGAGAAAGTTTATCGCCATTAAAAAGTTAAAAATATTATTTATTAAATATTATTTTTACGATTTCTTTTGAATATAATATATTTTGTTTCTTTTAATCATGTTTAAAAAAGAAAACAAACGAATTATTTTTTTCTATTAAGTGATACATTAAACAACAATTAATTTTTTGGTTCAATTAATAGTTTTATTTTCTGGTTTTAAAAAAATAAGTTAAAACTTTTTATATATGTTTTTTTATTATTTTAAGATTAATTTGTTTTTTGAAATTATAAAGTTAAAATTTATCTAAAAATGCAGTCTTTTTTCTAAGGATAAATATTTGAAAAATGGGATTTTCTTTATAATTATACATAATTCTAATTTCACTTTCTATTAATGGTATTATAAAAACATGGAAGACCATTAAATATTTATTCCAGTTTAGTTTTATTTAAGGTAAAAGTCAGAAAAAAATTTTAGTTTTTACTGATTATAAATATTTATTAATTAAGAATTTGTAATAAGTAATATATATATGCTTAATAAATATAGTAAATAGAGGTGTGGTAAAACAAAAGGATTAATAAACTTGTTCCTTTTACTATATTACTGTTTTTTTCTCCAAAAATCCTCACATTTTTTCAAACCCTGAATACATTACTGATATTCTGAGGTAACAAAATAGATAATTTGTTATTATAATTAAAACAGATATGTTGAATGGATATATTTCGATATTTTATCTAATTATATACATTTCCCGTAACCTAAAATTTTATCTAACATATTAAAAAATTTTTTTATATGTTAATAACCGTACAATCACGCAAACTTCATCAATTATTTACTATACTTGTTTAATGTAGTATGCATTATTCATTAATTCAGTTTCATTTAATTCTAATCCACTTCATTAAATTTTTCACTTGTGATAGTTTTTAAATGTTGGTTAGTATCGTTCGCATGCCAATTGGATTTTTTTTAAAAAGTGATTTGAAACAGCAATGTAACTATCAACCATTTGAATTATTAGCTGATAAATTTAATAAATATTTTTGTTGTTGTCAAATAAGCATTGTGCTTTAAAAATATACAATTTCTGCTTCTACGTAATTGTAAAATTTGGTTGACATGTACTTCAGCATATAACTGTAATACCGAATAGGTCCTTGAAAAATTTGATTTTAGGTGCTTCAAAGTCATTGAAAAGTCCTTGAATTTTTTTAAAATATTGAGTGGGAACACTGAATACCGTTCTCATATATTTAAACTATGAAATAGATTTAAAGTTTATATCATATTTTGTTAATTATAAATATATTTTATTTCTTAATTTTTTACCCTGTTTTTTAGGTAATCATGTCTACTCTAAGAGGCAGAAACACTGAGGTAAGAATATATTAATGATATCAATATTTTATAGTGGTTAAATTTATAGTTTATTAATAAATTATAGTTTATACATAAATACAATTTATTTTAAACCTGTTTTTTAAAAATGTTATTAAAAGAGCATTTTGTGCAGGAGGCCATGCAACGGACCTGCAATATGACGGTGTGCAGATAGGGTTTCTACCCCCGAACACTACACCTCTAATTCAGCCGATGGATCAAGGTGTCATTCGTGCCTTTAAAGCACTCTGCACTCCGTTTTGTAATTAACCTTACTAATTAGCACTGACACGTTTAAGTAAATACGTATACTGTTGTAATTTTTTTCTTAAATGTGTAAAGTTTGAATACTGTTTACATATTTAAAACATTCGTGTACCCGCATACACGAAAATTCCTATTGGCAAATCCTACTTCGTGGTTTTTCAGCTTTCGCGGAAGGTTCAGGTCCCCATTAACCGCGAAAAACGAGGGATCACTGTATTACTTTTTTTTTACTAATAATTTTTTTTACTTATTGCATTTTATTGTTTTATTACTTTCAAAATTTTCAATGCTTTTATTTTGTTTTAGAGAAAACCTAATAATATTTAGAGGCAAGATTTTAATTTAAAATTTTTAAATAAGTATGAAGAGAGGGGCTTTCAGAATTTTAAAAGCAGCAAAAAAATCTTATGTTTTTCTGATTTGTCATTCAAAAATACTTTAATTCATCTCTTAATGATTTAAAACAATTGATATAAAAAATTTTAATGATCACAGATTTGTTTAATATAATGGGTGTAGGGATAATGGAATAATTTACATCTGACAAATTTTTTTTAGCTTCAATACTCATTGTATTTGCATTTAAAAATTATTTAATTTTTTTAATCATTTCATTAAAGAAATACTGAACTAGGTAACCAATTTTAATAAAAATTTATTAGGGGCCATTCACTAATTTACATTTGTAATATAAATTTATTAAAGTTTGCTTAATTATTTACATATTTTTATAAATTCGGTATGATTAATATTAATCTTGTTAATGTTTTGTTGAATATATTACTATTACAAATAACATTTATTTAAATTTTAAGAAAAATACACTTGATAACATTAAACAATAGTTAAATTAATTAGTTTTAAATTACCTTTTACAGAATTAAATAAAGTAATTATTAATTTAAAAAATAGTATGAGCCAATCAATATTGTATTTATTTAAATTGCTTTTGCCAAAAGCTCTTTTTTAAGAAATATTTGGGCTATATTAAATAAATTTTAGGTCTTTTCCAAACTGAGACACCATTGATTCACTTGCTGTATGATGAAATGGTGTCTCTAGTTTAAGCAAATTTAGGGCGTTTTTTTTTAAAGAATTCTGCTTTTCTTAGTTTGACAGGAAGGGACTTCATTCAAATTTAATAGATGTTGAACTAGATACCACAAATGTGATGACACCCTTATCTTCTTCAGAAATTTTTTTTTATGTATTCAGGTACCAGGTCCATGGCATGTGCAAAAAAGTTATTAAAAGCATTGCCTCTTGGGAATAGGTTACTGTACCATCTTAAAGTGTTGCATCCTGTAATGAGAAAGGAAGACACTTCTATTAAGTCAATAAGATATCTGGCAACAGTAACCCCATTCATTATAAAACCTGAAGAGGCATCTTTGTTACTGTTACGTGGAGAACCAGAAGGTTATTCTTCTGACTCAAATGAATATGCACCAATTGATGTGTTTTGGAAAAACTATTTTGTGAAGAAATATAATTTGGGAAATATCAAATATCTTCATATAGCAAAGCTTTTTAAAGCTCTTTTGTACATACCACATGGGAATGCCCATGATGAAAGAGCAGGGTGGCCACCCACCTGGAAAACCTGGAATTATCAGCAAATTTTTTTTATACTGGAAAAATCAGGGGAAATTTTGATAAAAACCTGGAAAAATCAGGGAAATTCTGGAAGAAAAGCTGGAAATTTTTTCTTTGATAATTTTTTTAATTTCACTAATATAAATTATATACTAATTTTCTTAATTTAAATTATTTCATCCATTATACCCACTATTTTCAGGCGGAAATGTATCGCCAAACAGTTGAAATATCACCAGCTTAGCGATACTTTGCTTGCATCAAAATTTGCTCTATTACAGCTCTGTTAAACTAGAATACCTCATAAAATTCTCCCATGGTTGCTAAACGAATGTAGAAACCTTTGACCGCTCTGGGACTGTGCAATTTAAGTATGCTTTAAGTAAGTATTTAATTAAGCTGGTGAAATATCACCAGCTTAGCGATACTTTGCTTGCATCAAAATTTGATCTATTACAGCTCTGTTAAACTAGAATGTCACATAAAATTCTCCCATGGTTGCTAAACGAATGTAGAAACCTTTGACCGCTCTGGGACTGTGCAATTTAAGAAAGATTNAGAAGGGGTTAGGATATTTGCTTCTATTTTTAAATTCTGTCCGTGGGCAAACTTGAGCCATTTATGGCTCAAGTTTGTTCCGATGCTTTGGTGGTAATTTTTTTCTATTTTGACAAAATGTTTTTGTATTTGTATTCCAATTTTATAAAATTCTCCAAAAATTAGTTGATTATAATTTAATAATAATAGATTTTATGTTGCACTCTTTTTCTGAAAGCTTTTCTGCTCCCATTCAAAGAAATCTGCGAATTATTTTTTCTCAGAAAACCAATCGCACATTTTTTTACAATCGCTAACAGCAATGTTTGTTCGCAAATTTTTACAACTGTTGCATTAATGCTAATTTGTTCTATTTCATTTTAACCTTTTATTACATATTTTAATTTATATAAAAAAAGGTTTTAAGAACTAACTATATATTAATATTTAATTTTACTCTTTTGTTGGTCAATATATGATTTTTGATTCAAAATTTTGTACCAAATCATTATAAAAAATAAATAAAACAATCTTGCCAAATTGTCAAAATAAATAATTTTTTTCAAGATGATATGTTAAAAAAATAACATTATGAATAAAATATTTTATAATATAGTCACTTTTCTTGCACACATCCTACACTTAATAAGACAAAAGGAACAAAAACCTGGAAATTTTAAGATTTTTATCTGGAAAACCTGGAAAAATCAGGGAAATTTGAATTCTGATTTGAGTGGCCACCCTGAAGGGGTTTTAGTACTAGTTTAGTTCATATGTGTGAATAAAAAGCTACTTGACAATAGGGCAAGTTTAAAATTGCATAGTGTTAATGGTTTGAGATTGTGTCAAATATCAGCTGGGGGTTTAAATAACTTTAAAGTTTACAAAGAATATGATTAAAGGGACTTGTGCAGCATTTAAAAATTATTCTGCTTGATTAGAGAGTGAGAAAAAAGAATGTGAAAACACTGAAACTGAGGACAGCAGATGAAATGATGCTGAAATTGATTTGCTAAAAAAATTGAAGGTTTCTCAAGATCTCTTAGCCACAGCTAAGAAAAATATTTAAGATAAAGACAAATATTAAATAATGCAGACATGTCGATTATAGAAAGCGGACAGATCCTCTTATCTGAGGCTAAGTCAAGGATAATAGAATATTTAACAGCATTGGAAGGTACCAAAAAGAAACTTAATTTGTTTATGCAATGACCTTCAAAAAAGTGTAAAATATAAGATTTGTTTTTGATGAACAAAATTAAAAACTCTTGTTAATAAATTTTTGTTTTAATTCTTTTTATTAAATATGCTCCAAATCTTTGTTTTGCTGCTCCAAAATTGCTTTTTGTTGCTCCAAAACCATGTTTTGCCACTTGCCCCACTGCGGTGCTCCGAAAAATCTAATTTTTAAAATGGAATCCCCCCCTCCCCAATTTCAACCTGTTCCAAATATCTGAATTCCTAACAAAATCACCACGCAGGCATATTTTATTAGAATATAAAATGATTTTATCATGTTCTTTAAAAATTATGGTGTTCTTTCAAAAAATGAAAGAAAAAAGATTTCTAGAGCAAATTATCTTAAAAACTCTTCTGTGATTTAAGAATTTTTATTATTTATTTTATTTAATTTTATCAATTTAAAATTCTCATTGAAGCAAACCAGTCATTGGCGAATTTTTTTTATTCCGAAATGAGAACAGAAAAATCAGGAGTATTTCTTTCCTTTTAGGTGAACAAGAAAAGTATCTTTAGAATATAATTCCACAGAAATTTTTTTGTTTTTGTTTTTGTATTTTTTTCAGCTATGTATTTTATTGTTTCAACTCTTTCTAACTCTGTTTTTTAAATTTTAAATCTATAAATATGAAGATGCAGAGTACAGCAGTTTTGGTTATACCTTTTATTTCAATTAATGTTATTATAATGCTTTTTTAAATTAATGTATTGTCGCGTTTTTGTCTTAGAAAATAGTAACTTTGTTAAGTCATGAAAAATTCTTGGAATTAGTCATGGAAAATCATGAAAAGTCATGAATTTGAAAATCTAAAATGTAGCAGATACCCTGAAGTTCGTAAATGTTGCTTGCATTCCAGAGATGATATTTACAAAATTATCCCTCCTTTTACCCTAAAAAGAGGCATGTCCTTTTTTTCTTTTAACAGGGGAACAAATAAACTCGCAGCCCCAGTTAAGCATTCCATTAATTTGTTATGTATCTTTCCTTCGACTTCTTTTTCTCAATCTGCGCAATGTAATAGAGGGAGTTGTTTTCTTTAGTTTCAGTGTTTCCTTTTCATTCGGATTGCTTATGAAATCGCTGTTTGACCTGGTTAATGTGAGTTTTTATTTTCTGATGAATTGTTTGAGTTTCTTTTCTTAATTGTTTCTAAGTATTTTATGTTTTTTCCTGGACTTCTATACGAAACCTCCGGGGTACTGAGGAAGTTTTTTAGGCATTTGCCTCTCTCTCAATAGAAAAGGTTTTGTTTTATGGCTACCGGGGCCGGTACCCTCTGAAGACGTCGCCTTCGGTGGTCATATTTTTATTTCATTCGTTTCCTTCATTGCTACATTTATTCTTTTTTTGAAATTTCTGCTACTTTTAAGCGCGTTTTTTTTTCCAAAGAAGTTTTGTCTTTTTAGAATTAAAATTTTTTTTTTAAATGCATGTAACTAGTTCTTTTTTTTTGTGAGGGGAAATTCATGAGGAATATTTTTTTAAAAATTGTACAAAACTTTTACAACACTCAATTGCGAATTTATGAATTTTTCCACAAATTTTATAATTTTAATCTCTGATATGAAATTCTTCTTTTAAGCATTTTATTACATATTGCACAGTGCAATAGGATACAATAAACTAATTTAACATATTTATTACTGATTTATCTCTTATGATGAAAAATAATCAAATTTGGTCTATTGTTTTACACCACAAGCCGTTTTTAAATGATAAAATAAAATATTACGGAATTAGCAAGCAAAAATTTAAATATAATTTTGCTATCATAAGTTTGATACTAAAGTGCAAATAAATAAATAAAAAATTAAATGAAAAATAATTAAATAAAAAATTTAAAGCAATTGACAATAATTTTTATTCTGAAATCCGAAAACATTTAACTGTACAGTGATCTTAATTTTTTAAAAATTAGTATTGTACCAAAACATTTAAAAATAAAAAAACAAAATCCTGTCAAAATAATTTTTTTCAAGATATGTTAAAAAAATGACATTTTGAATTAAATATTTTATAAACTAGACACTTTTCTTGTACACATCCTACACTTAATAAGAAAAAAAACAAAACACGGACCTAGAAATTTTAAGATTTTTACCTGGAAAAATCAGGGAAATTTTAAATCTGATTTGAGTGGCCACCCTGTCCTGCCTCAGCCAGTAAACGGAACTCTTGCCAACTTGTAGTAGTTATGATAATCCCCCCCCAGCATTTAATCGTCCTTTTATATGTTTATCATAATATTGATAACTATATATTCATCAAAGATATAGAAATTGGCTGATAGTGAATTTTTCTTCAAATCTATTTTATTTTCATAGGATGCTGGAATGTCTATAGAAGAAATAGTTCAAGGCATTTGTAGTCAGGGTGCTCATAAACAATTGATTGCTGCTCAGAATGCCAGAGAGATACTTTCCAGGGAGACTTATCCACCTATAGATACAATGATTGCTAAAGGAGTTGTTCCCATGCTCGTTCAAGTTCTTATATGTCATGATAAGTGAGTAACATTTTAAAAAGTTAATTTTAATAATATTTTAAACCATAAATTTTCTGTGCTTAAATTTTCTTTATAGTTTGATTTCTTTTAAACTCTCTTTAGTGTCAAAAATCAGGGTTGCCGGCGACTAAAATGCAACTATTTTCAGCATGAGGCGACTGTGGCAACTTTTTTTTGCCTGAAAAGGCTAAAAAAAAGCAACTATTTTCAGGAAAAGGAGACTATTAGGAGACTTTTCTGCACTCCTAGCAATGTTTTTTTTAGCATAAATTGGGTTGAAAACCTGCAGCCCGCAAAATCGTCTGAACACACTGAATTTCTTTTCTTAAAAAATAAAAAATGTATAATAAAAATAATAAAATATAAAAAAATAATTAAAACATTAAAAAATGAAAAATTTTAGATTGCAAATTTGAGTCATCACTTTTTAATGTGTTCAATTTGCGCAGATTCTATCGTAAGTCCATTTCGTTTCTTGATCGCCTTTTCAACAGTTTTTGCTACGAAATTTTGCACGATTTAAAAAAAACCCAATTTTTTATACAATAATAAGATGCATGAATTTTGAATTTGAGCAATCACTTTTCACAATATTATATATATGTATATACCCAGAAGCAGAAAGTGCCTGAAACTGTGACGTACGTCGCAGAACAAATGGAGTCCTGCAGAACAATTTGTATCTTGAATAAGTGACAGCGTTTTCCAGCGAACCTTCCTCCCCCGCACACCTGCCTCCAGTAGTCTTGATGCAGAACAATCCCCAACCCTAATATCATACATTCTTCTGTAGACCATAATGATTTGAAGGTTTAAAAGCTTCCCCTCATAATCTTGTAGAACATTTCCCCTCACCTCATTCATCACACATGCTAATACAAACTTCAGTAAAATGTCTGCAGTAAATGTTTTCTAGTCGAACATCACTTCTGTTCAGATGTAACTGGGAAAGGTTTATGTGAAAGTATTTTAAAATCTATTGAAAAGTTTGACTTGCCATATTTAAGGAAACATCTATTTGGCCTTGCAGTGGATGGCCAGTACATCCAGTTAAATGCATCTGAAGAAGAAACTTCCAAAGATATCCTTGTTTCTTCAAAGGATCCCATGCATAGATTACAGCTATTGCAAACACATGCTAACATTCCGCATGCTATACAAGAAGCAGTGACATTGGTTAATAATTGCATGAAAGAATTCATGTGGGGGAAAGCATATGAATTGCTTTTACAAAGTGCAGATGATACTGGTGCCTCATTTTTTAAACCAAAAAATTTTAAAACCTTAAAGTTTGTCTCCCATTCTAAAGAAGTTTTCATGACTTTCATCATTGATTACAAAGCCCTTGTTGCTGCCTGTGAAACAAGTGGAAATGATTTGCCTGAGGGACAAATTGTTGTGTAAAAGAAACTTATTCAATATTCTTTTATTTTCAGATGTAATTTCCTTATTTAGCATGTACATCAAAACTGGTTTAGACTTCAGATCTTTTACCATGGGAATATGCCGACCACATCAGTAACTTGAAGACTTCATTGCACATTATGAAAGAGCATCTTATCCTCATTTCAAATGTAGAAAGCATAGGGGAATTCCAAGATATGGTGAAGTCATTACCTTATACATTGTTTTAAACACAAAGAGTGCATCACAAATGTTGGGCCAGGAAAGTATGTTTCATGGAGTTCCTCTGCCAGATTTGCCGGTTAGCTCCAAAGACTTCCATGATATGGTGAAGTCATTGCCTTATACATTGTTTTAAACACAAAGAGTGAATCACAAATATTGGGCCAGGAAAGTATGTTTCATGGAGTTCCTCTGCCAGATTTGCCGGTTAGCTCCAAAGACTTCCATGATATGGTGAAGTCATTGCCTTATACATTGTTTTAAACACAAAGAGTGCATCACAAATGTTGGGCCAGGAACGTATGTTTTATGGAGTTCCTCTGCCAGATTTGCCGGTTAGCTCCAAAAGACTACACTCCGTCTTAAATAATTCTGAGCTTTCTATATTTTCCTCAGATGCAATGCAAATGATAATCTACATTGGTTCCATGTTGGAGCAGTATAAATTATATTTTGAAAAAGAGGAAAACGTTGATATTGTCATTAAACGAATGAAAATTCTCTAGCTTTGACCACTTCCTGTTTCCCAGGAATAATGTTGCTTTAGAAGAGAAACATTTGACACCCTGCACAAATTTCAGCACATTTATCAGTAATCTCTCTCCCATATCTTTGCTAGTCTGAGGAGGAAATTAATGAACTAGCTTTTGGCTATATATAACATTTTTATAAAATGGGTATATCAGTTTTTAGCAGACAGCAGGGGAAATCGATCAGCATTTTTATCAAGAGAGCTTCTAAAGCAAGCCATAAAATAATTAAATTTAGAGATTTCTAATGTCAGAAAATTTATGACTTTTATATTTTCCCTTCCCATTTCAGAAGCAATTTGTGAATTGTTGGGATCCATGATTGACAGATTTTTCTTTTAAAAGACCAAGTGCTTTCGATGGAGATGAAGAAGTTGTTGGAGCAACAGACCAGCGAATGTTTGTGTTTGCAAATGGTGCACCATTTGGGCGCTTGTCCTTTCGAAAGATTTTTAAGGCTAAGATAATTTATTTTAATGTTCGGACCTTCATTTCATAGGCATTTTATTAATAATTCATCACCATCATCGTCATTAACAAAATTTTTTACCTCAAAAGTGATTGAAAAAGTAACAAATCAAGAATGTTTGCTTTGGTTTAAAAAATGAAGTAGTGTATCTGTGTATGATCCTGTATTTTAATAAATGAAAATATAGTATTTTAACGTAAAGTTGACTTTCTTTCGCTGTGAAATGCTTGCAGAACATTTTCATAAATTAATAAGTCCTGAGACAGAACATTTGAAAATATTCTGCTTCTGGGTATATATATATATATATATATAGTATTTGCTAAATCAATTATTTATAAAAAGGAAAATTTCTTAGAATAAGTGTGTTTTTTTTTAATGAAAAAATATTTTTTGAAAGAATTCTAGTTATTAAAAGTATTTAATTTTCTGCAAATGTACTTATTTTGTTTTTTATATACAAATTTAGTGCTCTAACACTAACGTTTATATAAAAATTATCATATTTGCCACTAACTTAACTAAATGGATTATGGTATAAGACAATTAAGTCATTTAATAAAATTTTAGTCTTATTTAGGCAACTATTTTCATAGTTTTCGGCAACTATTTTCATGCTCTAGGCTACTAAAAGCAACTATTTTGCTCATTTTTTTTTCTGTGGCAACGAATGTCATTATAATCCTGTCTTATATAAGTATAAGTCTTTAAAATTAAATCAGTGTTCTTTTTAGAAGGGCCTGTCTGCCCTGATCCCTATGAATGCCCTTTAAAAACACTGCCTTTTTATTTTATTCTATTTTAAATAAAAATTAACTGTTAAATTATTTACACTAAAATTTTTTTTGTTAAGGTTTAATTCTGATGATAAGTTTAATTCTGATTATATTACGAATATTTACTTTTTTAGGGTTGTTCTTAACTGGTCAAATTTTTATTAGTTTCTCTCTTTTTTTTAAAGGGGGTATATTGACAAATTTTTAAAATTATATTTTAAATACTTTTTTTTTAAAAACAATTTGCACCATTTTAATGATTATTATATTATACCTCTATCACAGGAGAGAAAAATAAGTGCAACCGTAAGTGTAACTGCAACTCTAAAGGCAATTCCTCCTATCGGAGTTGCCGATAGGATTGCTTAATTGCAGGAACGGTTTCTCATAACTGGGTTACCATATTTTGTTATTTATCATTACTTTTGGCTCACATTTTATTTTATTATACATTTTATTTTATCATTTATTATATCATAGTTTCTCAACGATGTTCGTAAAAGGAGAAAAAGGAAATCATAAACGCTGTAGAATATTGATTGATTTTGATTTAATTTTTTACATTTGTATTTGTGTTAAGTCTTTTTTTCAGCAGCAAATTAAAATTCTGAAAACTTTATTTCCCCATTAGTGAGGTAGCATAGTATAAAAAGGATTGATTTCTACCTCATAATATGAGATGATATTAAGATATCATTGAATTTCATGCTGTGTCTATAAAAGGATAAGGGGGGTGAAAGGGGAATGGACTTAAATACTATCTAGAATTTTTGCGATATTTTACTTTGATTTGAGTGACCAATATATAAAACATGGTTCATATCGTTTTTAAAAAGTGCTTTTTAAGTGAGGTAGCATAGTATAAAAAGGATTATGATATTAAGATATCTATGAATTTCATGTTGCGTCCCTAAAAGGTGAAAGGGGGATGTACTTAACTACTGTAGAATTTTTAAGATTTTTTTTACCTTGATTTGAGTGACTAATGTATAAAACATGGTGTGTAGCGTTTTTAAAAAGTGCTTATTTTTGATTTTCATTTTTCAACAACTCTTAAAGGTGCTTTTCTTAATGCGTGTTTTTAAAAAGTGCTTTATTTTCCCTTTTCGAAAATGAGATTTAGGAAAGGGAATGTCCATTTTCGCCAGCTATTATGTAAATACCGTCTTTTCAGTTTCATATTCACAAGATTTAAAAGCTGCATATCAGGATTCATATTTCTCTCAATTTAAAATCTTATTCACACGATTTTAAAATCATGCAATTGATTCATATTTATACAATTTTAAAATTAATTGAGATTTATAATCACATGGTTTAAAAATTGCACTTTTTTTGTAAAATTTTTGAATATCAGCTCTACATATTATATATATATATATGTGTATTTCCTCTTTTTTACGACCTTACTACTCTCATCCCTGAAGTTAATACATCAGATTGTTATTTTAAGAATTTGCATTTAGTCTTTGTTTTCAATCCTTTAATTTTTTAGTGTCCCCTTACAATTTGAAGCTTGTTGGGCACTAGCTATTATAACATCTGGCAATTTCACCCAAAGAAGAGCTGTTGTTGAGGCAGAAGCAGTCCCTAATTTTATAAGTTTGTTATCTTCTCCACATGTTAATGTTGCAGAGAAAGCTGTATGGGCCTTAAGAAACATTGCAGGTAAGTTAATATTGTCAACTTTGAAGTTCAATTATAATTACTATTTAGGGATTAAGTTGTGGCAAATTAATATTGTGTGTGAAAAATAATTTTTTATATAATATATTATAAATAATATATTTATTTAAAATAATTTATTCATTTAAATTATTTAAACAATAACACCCAACTTTATCTTTGAATCAATAAATAAAACAATCTTATCTGAATAACATAATAATTTCCTACAATCAATACAATTAATCTACAGTATTTTCCCAAGGACATTCCAAATGCTTCTCAAGAGACACCAATTCAACGTTAATCTTGTCTGTGATTGATGAAAAATTTAGATTATCTTCATCAACGAGATCATCTTCGATCCACTCTGCATCATCTTCATTTTCCTGGTTTCGGAGGATAACCAAAAGTTCTTTCTGTCGACGAGCTGCTACACAGACTGGTCTTACTTTGTTGATTTGCAAAGAATATTTGCATATTTTCTTGTGATTTTTCAAACAAGTTAAAAATGCAAAATATGTACAACAAGTAGGACAAATTTTGCATTCAATATCACCTTCTGCCGATGGGCATGCTGGATCGTATGGTATTTCTGTGAGGGAGTTCAAACTTATTTTTTGATTAACAGCAGCTTTTACAATTGGCTTCAACATTTGAGATAAAAATAATGATGGAAAAGTTCCTCGTGGTTGATTAATATCCAGTCCATCATCAGTTTGTGCTATAAGCACAGGAGCTGATAAAAATCTGTTTGGCACAAGCTTAAGAATTGAACTCCGAAATTTAGAACAACAGAATTCATCGTTACACTTAACGATTTGCAGTAGATATTGGCTGTTTCTCACGTGCTTAGCTTGCCAAGTCAGATCTTTTTCTCGAATTTGTGAAGAACATAGTTCTGAGTTTTCTGGGTGAATGTATTGACTCATAACTGGAAATTTGTCAATTTCCACATCGGACCATATTTCCGCTAACACCTTTCCTGCTTCTGCAAAAATTTTCTCCTCGAGAACTTTATCAATCGTTTCACCTCTATTGTTTAGATGACAACCAAAATGATTGCGCGAAAGAATCATGGCACTTAGCTCTACTCAATGGTGCCATGCGTCCTTCGACTCGATTGTACGCTCTTCTCCCAGGAGCATTACTGGCTATAAATAATGCATCGAGGTTTTTTGTTATGAAATGATGGATAGCAGTTTGGATGACTTTAATGTACCATAGGTTTTCATCGGGACATCCATCTACAGTGAAAATCCCCACAGGATTGACTGAATCATCATTTTGTTTTAAAAATCCAGTAAAAGCAGGCAGTTCGAAAATAAGCTCAATATCTGCTGCATGCGAATAGGCAGTCGATGATAAATGCTTAGCAGATCTTATAGTTATATAAGTCGGTCCCGATTATGTCACTGCACTTTTTTTTGTATTTGATTATTTTCAATTTTGATAAGAGCTTACACAAAAGGAATGAGCTTGTGAGATGGAGCTACTACCCAGTCGTGATCTGGTAATTTAACACTATATTCTACATGCATCAGTAATGGTGATTGCTTGTTTGCAGCAGTTATCCCAATCGGCACTCGGGCTTTATCATCCTGGCTTATGAAAAAACCTCATTTGGACCCAAATTTGATGCCAACAGTTCCAAATTTTATATAGTTGCAGCTGCAAACTTGGAATTGTGAGTTTCATTTTGTACTTCATCAGTTTCACTGGAACTGTTTGAATATGTCGTTTTCCTTCTCTTGAATTTGATTGTCGTGGTAATAATCGTAAATAAATGCCAGATCTACTTATATTATAACCATTTTGAGTTTTGAAAACATTGGTCAATTCGTCTAATGTTTTAATAGAACGAATCGTTTCTGTTATGCACTTTGGATCAATTGCACTTCTGTAAGTCGCAATTTCAATAACAGTTTTGAGGAGATCAGGCTGATTTTCTTCAACGGTAGGTCTTCCTTTCTTTTCTCTTATCAATGACGCTGCAGACTTGTCACTTTCTGAATTTTGAACAATTTTTCTTTTAAAGTTGGATCTGTTTTTTTTTTGTGCACGTTCTTGTTCTTTCTTTAATTTTTAATTTACTTATCTTTTCTTGCAGTAAGTCCCTCTTTTCTTTCAACTCTTTTGCTTCTTTCAGCAAATTCGTGTTTTGCTTCATTTTCAGTGTTTGCACTTCACTTTCCAAAATTATGGATTTCTTGAGATAATTTATCTTGTGCAGATGTTTTAAATTTTGGTTTGTCTAACTTTTTATAAGGCTCATCCTAGCAAAGGTTGTTGGTTTCGTTTGAAGATGATGCCTCATTTGTGCTGGCTTCGTTACTATTCACATTCGAACAAACTGAAGATTTTGTGTATTCTGGAAAAAATATGTTAATTTACAGTTAACCGAAAAATTTTATTAAATGAACAAAAAATTAAAATAAAATCACATAAAGTAAAGTATTTGTATTATTATACCATGATCCAAAATGAATCAAGTGTTTTTCTCTTCTTTTTTGCTAGAAGACAAATCACATATTTTTTGATCGACCTTTGCTTCAAATTTGTCACTGGTTTTCTCATCATTCCAAAAATCACTTGCAATCTGTTGTGATTTTCTAGGTTTCAATTCAGGAAATGCAAGCTTGTATTGTGCAAATAACTCTTGGAATTTCTTGTTTTTATCCATTGTAAAATTTATAAACTAAAATGATTAAAATAGTGAAAAAATTTGTAAAATAAAATTATATGCCTTTATAATATGACTAAAAAGCTGTTATATAAATTTATAAATACCTGCTACATAGAAAGAAAAGTAAATTATGTTTTGTCTAAAAAGATTTCATCAAAAATTACTAATTGCTGCTGATAGGCGCAAAAATATTTTATTCCTTTGGCAGAAATATTAATAAATCCTTACTGATTATGGAGATAAAAGGAAGATATTAGGAAAAAAAATTTCTAAAAAAATTTCATTTAGCGACTTTTTATCCGTGTACTAGGTGCCATACAACATAGAAAACACATACATATTTCGTCCACATACAAATATAGGGGTAATATAACATATTTCTAAATTCATCATTATGCATTTTCTTTTTATCTGAACTTAAAACCATACACAGACGTGCCAACCCTCCGGCTTTTGGCTGGAGACTCCAGTTTTGTATAAGTTATTTTCTCCTCTGGGGTTTTCTCGAAAATCTCCGTTTTTTTCCGCTTATTTTTACGCTGAACACAGTTTTCATCAATTGCAGCCTCAATGCGTCTGAGTTGTGACGTTGTTCATATGTCTTGGCCAATCAAGGAGTTGTTTCTCCTTTCCTTTCTGCAACCGCTAAGTTGGGCTTCTCTTTGTTAGCACTGCTTTGTGATTGGCTTCTTTTGGAAGCTTATTGTTTTAATTTTTTAAAAATTTTGATCATCGATCTAAAATATTTTTTATTGAAAATTAAATTTCTAATTTTCTATTTAAAGAAAGGTAGTTATTTAGTTACCTAAACTGCTATTTATTATATTTAAAAATAAGATAGTTTAGCCCATTTATTTATTTCTTTTTAAATAAAAGATTGCTAGCTTGAATCAATTTATGAATTAGCTAAATAAATTTCCTTACTGTTGTTGCTATTCAGTATTATAGATATTAATATTGACAATTGTTTAATTTTGGTATATAATTTTAACAATATGTTCAATAACTTTAATTATTCTTTATGTACTAAATAAAGTCTCCTTTAAGACTAAAGTGTTGTTATTTACAAATCTTTTTTTTTAAAAAACTTTTGTGTCTTATTTTGCATATTTCACTGTTGCATGATCATTTCTCTCTTTCTTTCGAAAGCCTCCTCTTTTTTCATTTTCCCAGGTTGGCACGTCTGCATACATAAATTAAAAATAACGCAGCATCTATTCAAAAGTCTGTATAATTCAAAAGTCTGTCTGTATTAAAAGCCACTATATTTAATATGTGTCTCATAAAACATACTATAAAAAAATAATCACTTTTTTAATGCATTAAAACATCAAGTCAAACACTGCTAACAAGTATTGACATAATTTAAACAGTAAAAGCTAGGCATGGCTACCACGTATTAAAAAATAACTGGAAAAAATGAAAGATTTTGAAAAAGAAATTAGGGAATTTAAAGAATGCAGTTAATATATTAAAATATACGTTGAAAGCAAAGGTATAATTTAAAATACAGTGTTTTAATAATTATGATTTCAAAATATAAAGCTTACCTATAAAAAAAATCCAAACAGCTAAACAAAGGATTTCAACTTCTAAACAAAGGATTTCAAAAATTCTTCAAAAACTGCACACAGGTTTCCGATGTGGGGCCGTACACTTATATTTAGGGAGTAGGAGATCAAGCTCACTAGCGAGCCGAATGGATGAATTCCGAAGGGAAGAATGATGAGGGTGCCGGCGAAATGAAAGGCGGAGTGGTTTTGGATTTCGCGGCGGCAGTGCTGTGATTGCAGGAGGATGTTTTCACCCGGTAACAGAAAAAGTTTCAAGGAAAGTTTGGTGTTTTGAATTTTTTATTTTGCGATACAACTTTTTTTGAGAACTGATTTACTCATTCTAACAAGTGGTCGCCGTGTGAAAAAAAATTACAAGAACGAACATATGTATAATACATGTGTAGGAGAAAGGCAAATTTAAATTTGGTGTGTGCGTACTTTGTATATTTTAAAGTGTCTATATTTTATTAAATGTTATTTTAAGAAAAATTGTATCATAATTTATTTAATGAAATGGCAAATGTTAGCCCTTTTGTAAATTCAGTGTAGTAAATTCAGCCATTGGAAGAAAAGAAGAAAAAAAACTACAGTATTTCTCTTTCTATTATTAAGACGATGTTTTAGTTTTTTTTTAGATTTGAAATAAGTCTTAGAAAGTTTGTTGATTTAATTAATCTTAATATTTTAAGGTGATGGTGTTTACTTAAGTGACTTAGTTATTAGAAATAACATTATACCTCCACTACAAGCACTACTGACACCCAACACTTCAGTAAGCATACTTTTGATCGAAATTAGAGCTTTTTTTATGCAGCATTGGCGTAAATGTGACAAAATTATATTTTCTTATTATTTTAGCTACCGTTGCTACGCAATATTATGGGGATTTTGTTAAAAATTAGCATTAATGAAATTCCTCCTCCATTTGACATTATCAAAATGATCCTGCCAACTCTTGCTGAACTGATAAATCACAGTGGTAAGATTTTAATACCAATTGATTTCTTAATTATAAATAAAATTTTAATTGCAATGAGTTGTCTTTTTTATGCTTTCCATAATTGTTTTCGTTCTGTTTAGCTTATAAATACTTAAGTGTTATGTTTTATATTACTACTATATTTCTGACTTAGAATTTATCTTTTGTTTTACTTTTAAATTTTACCAATATTAAAGCTAAATGCACTATTAACCGTTTGGCTACGGCAACAAAGATGAAAAAATTCTCCTCTTACCACAGCGCTTTTTTACCAAAGTTCATCCCCCCACTTAGTCAGTGGGAGGTAACTACTTTAACCAGTTATGAATAGGAAATATTTAGTTGCAATTTGTACCTCACGTTTCCTGGAGGGAGAAGAAGCAGGGTTGTAGACCAGTAGTGGCATAGTTATGCATATTTTGGCCTACTTTTTTTTCTAATGTAGACATGATTTAACATGATGTTTAAAAGTCTAAAACATAATTTTTTAAAGTTTTTTCTAAATATATTAACAATTTCTCTAAGAAACAAGCAAGTTTTTTTTTATAAATTATTTAAAAAATTTTATTACAGTAGGGAACCGGAACGGTCGGGACCATCACTATTCCGGATAACTGATTTTTCCGGTTTTCTGAATCCCTACAAAAAGCCGTTTTTTTTTTATTGTTAAACCCAACTAAAAAAAATAAAAATTTGGAAATAATCTTAAAAATAAGAAAAAACAATGAAGTAATACACTAATGATTATTTCCAAAATAATGGTAAGGTAAACATCTTTAAAAAAAGAAAGAAAAATCGTAAAATCTTATGAGGAAAAAAAATTTTTTTTTTAAAAAATGGCGAGAAAATT